AAATCAGTGGCTAGTTTCCATACTACAGAAATTTGTCAAATAGGGCATTGGGTTGGTTTTATTTCAAAAGAAAATGGAAGACCTTCATTTACCGTTGGAAAAATCGTATGTATTAAGTGTAGCAAAGGTACCTTATTTTTCATTCCACCTCTTGAAGTAGTTAGCGGTCTTATGGTTAAAAATCAGGGTAATGAGTTCCTTGTGTTTAATGTTTCTGAAAGACTGTGGGAACGTTATTCATTAACAATGAGTATACCATAAGTGCTGTATTTAAACAACAGTGTTGTTTCATTATTTATTAGTGTCTCTCTCTCTCTGAAAATGATAATTTGTGTCAGATCGGTGTCTTTGGCAGACTCCAGGTTTGGATAGGATTGGAAAACAGTTCGTTCTTGTTCCCAGAACGATTCTTTCTCTAATGAAGAGTTGTAATAACGGGATTGTTAGTAAGGTGTTACTATCAACAGTTGTGTTCCCTCATGCTGCTATTTACACAACTGTAAAATGGATATGGAATAGTATCAGCTCCTAACTCTTACTGTTTTATTCAGTCTGTACTAGAGAAAATTATTATACAAGATGCAAGGCAAAAGTAAATCAGCATTTTCTGAAATCCTGTCCTTGGCTGAAAGGTCGTGGAGGTGATTGCCAGTTACAATATAGGCCACAGAGATGACTTTCTGCAATCGGGAATTAACAGTGAATATATTGTCCCAGCTGGAGGGAAGCTTTTGTTTCTCCATCTACACAGTACATTATTCTTGGGTAAAATAAAGGATTCCTTTCTGTATTGCTTCAGGATGGGCTGTCCACCTGTCCAGCTGATCTAAATCTGTCCCTTTCTCATCACATAAGCTCCTGTCCTTTTCAGAGAAGATCTGTGTGTCTTTAAGTATCCACAGAGTGGGAGTTTACCAGCAGCAAAATGCGCAGGTGTGGTTGTTAGCAGATGAGTGCAGCATTAGGCTGTGTCAGACCTATATGCTTCCCTTTGCTCTTCTTCCCTGAATGGCGTCTTTCCCTTGTGTCATCTGGGGTTCCTCATGCTCATTGGTTTTCAATTCATGGCTTTTAATTATAAATGAAAAGACAATGTCAGCTTACACATCCCCTTGCTTTTCAGTGTGTTCATGTTTTCTTCTTTACACCCCAACCTGAAATTAAGGGCTGGTTCTGGTGCAGTTCACTGGCTAAGATCAAAAGCAGCCCAATGTTTGAAGCTTGTAGGATGTAACAGCTTATTTGAAAGCCCCAGCATGTCAATGCCTGAGAGCCCCCAGGAACCACCTATGGATGGAAAGCTGAAGTGTGCCCAGAGGAGTGAGCATGTGTGGCAGCCATGTGGGTTGTTGGAAGAAACTTCAAGTGCTTGATTCCTACAGCATCTTAGGTTTTTTGCCAGGACAGACCAGAATTAACTTTAACAATCATGAAAATTACTTGCTTGCATTTGAGGGGTTAATTGCTCATGAAGCTGACAAGTTCAAACTCTATTTGTTGCCTGGCAGACTTGCTTTAAGCCAACCCAGTGCAAAATATCCTCTTAGTGGCAGCCTTGTTTGTTTTCCTTTGGGGACCACACAGGTACCTGTGCTGGCCTGAATGTATAGCTAAGCTTTACAAGTGAGCTCCTAACTTACTGACACATTTGTGTTGGAGGTTTGCTATAAATCTGGGGTGCTCATTAACAGCTGTGTATACAGGAAAGGAAAAACTGGAAGATCCACAGCCTCTCCCCAACCCTGTAGACATACCTTGGTCACTTGTTTCTAAGCGAGAATTTCTGCCACTTCCATTTCAATAGTAGCTCAGCAGTTTACTCACATAGTTTCTTCTTATTCTCTTTTGTCATTACGCAGATATATAATACATCTTGAATGGTTTATGTTCTCTGTGTCAGTAAAAGGGCTTCCTAAGCATTGGAAGCCCACAGGAGTTCAAATCCCCATGTAAGTCATCTCTGAGTGGAGATACACTAGGCTGGAATTACAGGACAGAAACAGAAGTCCTGAGTACAAGCCGCCCCCCGCCCAAGCTCAATTAGGAATTCCTTGTAGTAGCAGGAGGGCCTTATCCTATAGATGGACTTACTAAGAGGGGTTTTTCTTAGTTAGGCTGGCATGCACATGTCAAAAGGAAGTGGCTCGGGGACGGGGGAGGAGGCAACAGTGACATGTTTTATTTTTATCCTAAAATTACATTCAGTGAATTTAGTATAGTGAAAAGTGCTGTCTTGGGCTGTTCAGAGGGTTTTCTTAAAGTTCTGTCTCCACAAAACAAACAGCAGTGACAGTGCATTTTTTTTCCTTGATTTTTAAAATGCAAATCAGGAGAAGAGGAAAAATGCATTAAATCTCACATGTGTTTTTTCATTCTGTCCTCTGGTACTGTGGTGTAAATCAAGAATGACTTCTTGAGGTTGATGAAACTAATTCAGTATAAAATCAGTGTGATTCAGGATCAGTGTGATTCAGCATCACTGTGATTTTTGCAAGGTGTGCAGTGCCTTCTAACAGCTGATTAACTTTTTTACCAGAGTAAACAGAATAGTTTAATCTTAATTTTTGAGTTTCTATGGTAGGTTAGTAGCCAGAAGGACAGAGGATGCTGTGAAGATTGCCCGTACAGCATGGTGGTGTCCCAGAAGTTCATGCTTAAAACCTCATGACTCAATGACAGGGTGGGAGGACAAAGGAAAAATAGTTTACAGATCAGCCAAGTTCAGCGGGACAGATGTCTTGATTTGGGAGCAACAACATTTGAAATCAAACCCTGAAGTGTGAGATACCAGAAGCCTTTATATTTTCATCAGGGTGAAGGACCAGTTACAGAGAGCAGTTGTTTGTCACCTTTATTGACCTCTTAAAATAATTGGTCTGCAGCATGTTACAGTACAGCACTGTGTGACAGATCCTGGGAGTCATCTAGATATAAATAACTGAGCTAGAAGTTCTGTCGAGATTTGGAAGTGCAACTAAGAACACTGTACGGAGTGATGTGGTCGTGCTGTAAGGGTGATGTAGAGCTGTGATTTGTGCTGGAAGCAGGAAGGAAGCAACCGGCACAGATTGAAACTGTGCATGCTTTCAACAAAGTGGTGCCAAGTTGCGACTATCCAAACGCAGAACAAAGCCAAAGAGAAGAAGCATAAGTAAGGCTGCAGCTGCTATGAACAATGATCATAGAGCCAGCAGCGATATGGGTAATATTATAAATTTATTGAATAGACAAAATTCAGACATAAGAGCGAGGATTAGCCGGACATCACAGCATCTTCCCCCAGCTGTGCTTCTCGGCCGCTTCAGGCAGAGGACAGGCTATTGCTATACACAGTTTCAAATGGATTTGTCAGTGTGCAGCGTTCTTAATTTTTGTGACTTGTTTATGTCATGCCTGAAAGTAAGGATGTCAGCATTTAACCAGATGAGACTGAGAAATTATGTGACTAGAAATATCCAGAACACTTGAGCACGCCATAAAAGAGATGTGACTGGAAGCAAGTAGAGAGTTTATTTCTCAGCATAATAGCCAGTGATTAATAATTCCAAATTCATGGTTAACTGTGTAGCAAAAAGATGGACAAATATCTGCGGGAGATTGCCGGAGTCCCTGATGAAACTCCAGTTCACTTCACTGGGGACAGTTTGGAGTAAGGCAGTAGTCTCTATATTCATCCCTCAATAAGAAGGTTGAAGTCCTGTGTTCATTGTTTCACTGGACTGCAGATCTGTTGTGTTCAATTTGCAGATAAAGCAATGTATTTGGCTTTATGGTTTGCATCAGGGAATGGGGTTGGGATTTTAGTTGCAACCCAACCTAGGAGCTGCGAGCTGAGCTCTACTTTTTCTTACTGTGCAATGTCATTGCTCATAAATGCTCTGTGAAGCCCAGTAGGTCTCAGGGATACTGAGGAGGAGCCATTTCTTCTTATTTCAGTTATAACTGACTTAAACTAAATGGCAATTTGGTGTATCGTGTGTGGAGCAGGATGGGTTCCAGCCTATCAGGTGTTGTGCTGCATGTGCACGGTTGACGAGAGTAAAAGCTGGAGCAAACAAGATCTCACTTGAATAGACCTACAAAGTACAATTTTTCCAGGTACAAATTTTCTTAGTGGTAATAGAGTTGAGAGCTCACGGGACCATCTTAAACTCACTTGTGGGAGATATCTCAGTGTACTTTCTTGCAAGTCAGCAGATTTAGGTCAAAATTTTGCAGAAGATAATGCTTCATATGTGTTACTTACCTCTTTCTTTTAATTCTTGAAGTTTTGTTCCGTATTTGGGTAGTAGCTCAGACATCCTGATCCTGTCAGAGATATCCATATCCTTTTGCTAATACAGTCACTTAACAGCACTCAAAGTTATTTGAGGACAAGGATATAGTAAATAATAACAAATAAGAAGGACTTAGAATTGTATCAGCATATGCTGATGTTCCTCCATGCCACAGTGGCATTCATCACAGTGTTAACTTTATACAGCATGGTAAATTAAAACAGTAAGGGAAGGCATAATTAAACACCTTTCTATTATGATCATGAAAGCTTTGGAAGGAGCTGGAAAAATGTAGAGGCCATGTCTCCGCTGCAGACATTTGACGATCTAGTTTTGTTGATTTCTGAGCTTTTGTTGATGTTGGGTGTCGGCAAAAGGCCTTAGCCTAGTGCGGTTAAATTGGCAGAAGTTTACTTTTTACAGGTAGAACTCAGTTTGAGTGGTGAGAACTGGAATACAGTGCTTCAACAAAAATACACCTTTAATGGCAGAAACTGCAGCAGCATTAAGGATGTTGGCAGCGTCACTGCCAAATGGGTCACAATGTGGGCTGTGGGATCTTTATTACTTATAAGACTAATTTATCTGGCTGAAGGAGGGACTAGTGGAAATTTGTTTGCATAAAAGTTGCCAATGGCTGGGTGGCATACAAATAGCAAAAATCTTAATGGCAACTTCCTCTAACCAATTCTTCCTTTCTATTTTCCTCTTTTTCTTCTGCAGGGCTTGTGAAGTTGGGGGTTCACTGTGTCACATGTCAGAAGGTCGCGATAAAAATTGTCAACAGAGAGAAGCTCAGCGAGTCGGTGCTAATGAAGGTAATTTTCTAATGGGAGATTTTTAAAAAAAATTAAGTTCTTGGCTCTGTGTCTTCTGTTCCATGTAAAATTAATATCTTTAATTATGTATAACAAACATCCCTGTCAGTGCTAGGATTACGCAAAGCTTAATAACAATAATATAGTTATGGGGGAGGCTAGGGCAGCTGAAATTAAATGGGAGTATGCCTGTGCTTTGTGAAGAAAATAAACGGTCAGCTGCAGACTTGTTGCTTCTCTGCTGGGGCAGATATGTGTTGGGCATCTGACTTCCACTGCTGCAGCAGTGCATAATAGTTGCGGTATGTTGCAGACTGAGGTGTACAAATGCCACTAGGAAGAGATTTAAGAGAGGCTGGTGAATCTGTTGTTTGAATCCTCCTACTGCTTGCTCTGCTGCATGGGTTTGTTATGATCTAATGTGCTGAGGTCCGTGACTATTTAAAACTGTTGTAATTCTGCTAACAATCCACAGAGCTGTGCCATTGGAAACCATCAAAGTGTCTGTCCCAATGGTCCCAATGACTGTAGTGTTCAGAAGAGCTTAATTTGCTTTTTACCTAGCCTTGTGATATCCGTCTCCTTACTTGAGTGTCATTGATTGATCTTGGAAACCTAAAAATAAAATAAATATATGCATAAAAGTTTATTCATGTGATTTGGTGACTAGAAAGGCTAAATTCAGCTTGATGGGAGGGAACACAACTGCACTGCAATCAACAGAATTCCATCAAGCTGTCACCTGCAAATGATGCTGCATGCAGTGTAGAGCACTTTATGGAGGTAATGTCCTATGAGCACATGGAGCATATATCTTTACACGGCTGTTTCTTGTATGTACTTCTGTGTCAGCTGTTTTCCAGCACAAGTAAGTATAGCAACCTTACTAGGAGCCAAAAGAAAATGGAGATTAAAGGAATATGCAGTCAGTGAATGTTACACATATGATGTAAGTTTATTTTTTTCAGAGAAGGATTCTTAAAGTTTATATTAAGTTGTAATGTATTCAGACTTACCTTTCTGGAATTTACTTGAAGTATTCCCTCTCCTGCAGTACTGTGAATTCAAACAGTCTTCTAATACAGACCAAAAGCTCGAAAGTGTAATAGGTAAGAAAACTGCAACTTTAAAGGGAGATTCAGGAGATGAATGGAACTCAGTGAAAGCAAACAAGGTGTGTAAATGGTGAAAACTGAATGAGACTCTACACACTTTGAATATTTTCCAGAATAACATAATAGGAATATTTTTAAAAAACATGAGCATTTTGTTTGCTGAGAGACACTGTCTGGTATCTGTATAAAACATTTTATTTACCTCATTGATTTTCAGAGTAGGAGGCAAATCACTTAGCATAGCAAAGTGATCTCTCTGCTTTAGTTGTGTTGCATTACCTTGGTTGTAGTATGAAATCTGAGTAGTGAAATGGTGTGTTAGGGCCTTGTTTACATAGCGGCATGCTGAAGCATGCCATGGTTTCTGTAAGATATACAGCATCCTTCTCAGGAGGAAACCATGCATTGTATTGTGATTCTCACTTTCAGACCATTCTTGGTGAGATTTTCTCTTTCAAGGATTCTGTTCTCTGTGCTCAGGAGGTTGGAACAACAGATGGGATTGAAGTGGTTTGCCCAGTTCTTGCATAAACTCAGTAACCAGATGTCTTTTCAGGAAGGCCCTGTGTCTGATGGTCACAGACAGGGCCTGAGACTTCTAAGTGAATTTGGAATTGACTGTATGGTTAGCCAGCTTAATCCAGCTTGGCAGAAGGGGAAAAATGCTTGCAGCTTTCGGCAATCCCAGTGTGACCATTGCCAAGCATCCAGCTGACAGCTTGCTGTGTGGAGTCAGCAGCCACAGGGAAATAGCCAACAGTGAAGCCAAGTCATGGTGGTGTGGTGGCATTCCTACTTTGCAAATCTTCCCACTAGCTTATCAGTTCCAGTGACTCGCTTTGCCAGTGGGCCGTGCTGAACAGTCCCTGGAGCCAAATGATTCAAGACCACAGCTACGTTCCCAAGCCAGGCCCCGATTTATGGATTTTGCTTTAATCCATCCTTGGACAGAAAAACTGGATCTGACAAACACGCACACCTGCCGCATGAAGCTGTAACACTGCAGTGCCGTGGCCATTTATCCTAGAGCATAAGGAAGAAGTCTGCTCGCGGTTCTTTCAACATCTAAAATGACAGGCACAAGCATATACAGCAGGCTGCCTTCTCTGCCATCATTATTCTATTTTGACTTGCTTCTTATAGCTTTCATTTCTCCAGTGTTTTTGCAGCATTTTATCTGTATGTTCAGGGAACTGTCCCTTCTTTCTGCAGCTGCTCTTCATCTGAGCTGTGCAGAATTGAGAGGCATTTGGTAAAGTGCTTTCTAATCATAACGTCGTAGTATCGATATTTCTGGAGAGAAGAATTTGGAATTGAAGCAGCTGGTCTCAATTAGCAGAACTGCTGCTATGGAGATGATACACGGGCAGGCACGATGCAGTGCAAGCTGCAGTAAATGTATCATCCAAGCGCTTGCTGCCCTGTCAAAGGACAGGGCTGCTCAGTGCACATGCGAGCCTTTTGCTTTGTCATGCCCTTACTCGCTAAACACAGGCTGGGGAGCAGCCTCTCCCAGCTCTCCCAGTTCCTCTCCCAGCTCCAGCTTGAGCCTGTTGGGAGCCTGGTTTTGGGGCAAAGCTACAAATGTTATTTCACAGATTATAACAGAAGGGCTGGTTCTGTTCTTGCTCCTGCTTTCACACAACTGGTAAAAGCTTCAGTTGGATTTCTTCAGCCATGCTGTGGTAACCCCCCACTGATGTGGAAACCTGTCTCCCATGGTACCTCTAGCTTGCTTTAGCACAAACCCACAGAAAGATTTCAGAAAGGGGTGCGTTACAGGGAGCGTCTTGAGATTGAAATAAGGTTCATTAATTTCCCTGAATTACTTCTAGATTGATGACAGGGCAATTAGGCCCAGAATACAAGAGCTGAATGTGTCCATAAAGCAGTAAGCTTTACTGAAGAGGCAGGTTCACTATTGATGGTTGCATTTTCAGTACCAGCACAAGCGTTTGGAGTTTATAACTTCAGAATATAAAGGTTAAAGCAAATCTTTCATCTGATGTGGCAAAAGCTTGTTTGGAAACGTTGAGGTGTCTCATGAGACGTAATCAGAACCACCTCACCAGTTCTCTTCCACTCCCTCCTTCCTAACAACAAAAAAGCTACTTTTCTGGTGATCCATCAGACAAAATACTATTTGGACAGACAGTGGTAGTAGAAGCAATGGGAGCATAAAGGGTGAAAGAGCGAGAAGGGTACAGCTGGCCTTGGACTAATTACTTGAACACACAGGCATCCTGAGAAATTCACAGATGTCCCAGGCTTGATGACTGGAGCCCAGAGCTCCATATGTGTGCTTTGTGTGTATGTGCCTTTTGTTTCTTCTGACCGAGTCCTCCAGTGCTGGCCTTGAAGTGAAGCAGGTATTTCCAGGATGGGGGATGGGGAGAGGCACAGCCCCTTCCACATTTCTCTTGTGGAGCTCAATTGAAACATGGGTGGTGAGTTTCAGGGAGGTTGGTTGGTTGTTTTAGTGCTTTGTGGTGCTAATGAGCTCTGCTTCTGAAAAAACTCGGCAAAGGTGTGTTCTTATGCAGGGAGGATCGTGCAACAATCACTGCTAGAGATTGGTAATTGCCTGAAATAATTGAGTGGAGGGATAGGTAGCAGGATTGAGCGTCAGCATCTTGGAACTGCCAAGATTAACTTATGAAAGTTATATACTTGTAAATAGGCACTGCTTTGCATGGTCTTTTCGTCATCTCTTCCTTCTTCCTGAGCTTGTTTCAATAGCTACTTATGTCTTTAGTACCTTGTCCTACTTTGAGTCCTTCCTTCCTTGTCCATTTTCCTTCCGTTGTTATTTTGCCTCTTTCTAACCCTTTCATTCTTCTTTTCTCCTTGATTCTGTGATTTCTTCCTTTTTTTTCTATCTTTTCCCCTTCTGCTACATGAAGTCATGTAACAACTGTCATTGTTTTCTTGCAAAAACTGCTGAAATGCAGCATGTCTGGTTGAGGAGCCCATTCTTCAAGGGAAAAGTTTAGAAATTGGGCTCAGTTCAGAAAGTATCAGAGAGTTAAGTAAACAGAGATCATGTTTTAGGAGAAACTCAAGGGACTTGGTCTACCTAGTTTGTTAAAGAGAAGGTTAAGACATAACTTAATCATGGTCTGTAAATACTGATGAGGAGGATGGGCATTTGATAATAGAGAATATTACAGTCCTGGGGGCAAAAAGCTTATTGGAAACTAATAGTTGTAAGCTGTAGGTAGACAGATTAAATGTAGAAATACTAGGCCTATTTGGCCGCTGGATGAAGTTACTAATTGGAAAAAATAAAAAACTCTGCTAAGTTTTTCCCCTGAAAGACTATTAAACTTCATCTTAAACTGCTGTGTGTTTTTCTAAAACCTAGATACCAGTTCAGCTTCAGCTGCTGGACTTGCAGCAGGAAGTAGTTGAAGATGATCTCCTGATCCATGCTATGCATTAGCTCTGACCAGATTAACACAACAGCCTCTCTGGCCTTAAAACCCATGGAGCTGTGAATTTCTAATCACACACTTGAAATCTGTAAAAAGTCACTTTTCTCCATCTGGAGCATCAAGAGAGGTGCTTGTGCAAGGTATCTGCAGAAGCAGAAATTTAGGCTCTGCCAAGCAAAGCTAAAGAAGGGAATACTTGAGAGCAGCATTCTTCTCTTTGGAATACCCCATTTTCAGACTTTTCAAACAAAAGACTGTGATATTGGCTGACCTAGCTGTCCTCAGCTGCTGACTGGAGGCCTGGTCTACAGAAATCATTACCAGAATATCAGAACAGTGTCAGGGAGAAGCTAAATCTGAGACAGAGACAGAAACGCACTGAATAGTGTAACAGTTCAAATTCAGCTTTGATCAAACCAAGGGCATTAGCAACATTAGCAAAGCAAACTCA